GCGGTTTTTCATTTGAACACTGCAAAGAACTCCTTCAACTCCAAATTCTAGGAACGCCTCCCTCCGAAATTTCACTGTCTGTTGTTTTTTCATGGGAGAAGCTGACCGAGAACCATCTACCTCATTTTTCTGAATTTCTTAGATGTGGAAAGATTAGAACATCAAGACATATAGCTTCACTCTATCAATCACATAGGACGGACAACCACTATTATACTCTCGGCATATATCATTTGAATTTCCTCCTCTGAAGAACACTTCAGTAACAAAACAAGAAATAAATCGGTCTATACAATGTTGACTCGCCGTCGCAATACATGGAAAATGGGCGTGCACTCGCATAGCGTACGTTGCTGAAGCTGCTCTGTGAAAGCCCGTGCAATTTCCACGTATTACTGCTGCGGCTCGTCGACCCTGTATGAGGGCTATACATGATATCATTACAATGAAGCTTTGCGGAAATTTGGACTATTGACAGGAACATACGACATCTTCTCTCTTGTCCGCTCCGACGCACAACTCTGTTCAAGGTTGAAATGAGTGCGACTTCGTTCCCAGGACAGCCCTGACGTGGAGTTTTTTTTTTACTTGTTGGGCCCTTCTGTAAGAATATGTGATACGAAATGGTGGCAGGCCTCTTTCAGTGGTCTGAGATGGGGAATGGAAGAAGCAGGCAAAATGGGGAGCGGACCGTTCTTGAACAAGAAGCTGCAGGAGATAGTTTCAAGGACTAAAGTCAAGTTAGTGTATAGGGGAGCCAAAAAAAAACATTTTGCCCAGGTCGCACTTCGGCCTTTTTTTTTCGCAGAGATTGCCGTCGTTGACGGAAGTTCCTCAGCAAAGTATTCCCTAAATGTCCCTCTATAAGTACACGCAGGCCCTCCTTCACTACCCTCACCGTCTTCAGAATATGACGTCATCTGTCACCGTCGTCGAGCTCAGGGAGGCCTACAGTAACTGCTTCAGCCTGAAGCTCTTACATAATTTCTTGGATCGATTCAACGTGGGATAGTTTCCTAGGGACATTAGCTCTAACTATGCAAACCCCCTCGGAACCCGCCCTTCGGAACCCGTCGTAACGGTACACGATCAGTCGAGAACCCCATTGAGCTCGACCAGAGCACCATGTTTCCGGGGCAAATTTTCTGATGCCGTCCACGTAGATGGCCACTATGAAGATTTTCTTATGAAATGAAATGCGCTCTTCAATTCTAAGTTGGGAGCACACGCTTTGAGCTGACGAGGAAAGGTCACCAGGCCGGTCCGGCCATTTGCAATGAGGTGTATACCTACGCATTCGTCTTGAGACGATAAGCTAGAAAAAACCGCTTTTCTTATCTGCTAAACGGTGCTCTGAACGGAGTTACGGAAGTTTTCCCCTCAACACTGTACTTAAACGCAGTATATGAGCGCTATCATTGGAGTCGCCACTATAAGCCAAGCGGGAAGCGCATCGTGGTTGACGTGGCGTAAGTGGTAACGCTCCAGGCTTGTAGGCGAGAGGTCATGGGATCGGTCTCTCGTGGTGTTTGTTGTTTTGCCTTTTTGAAAACATGACCAGAAAGGCTTTTAGCGACAGTATCTCCTCAATTCCTGCCTTTACCTGCCTGTGTAAGGAGTTAGGGAGCACCCCGCAGGTTGAAAGCTATTTTTAATTATTTGCCATGACTGAAAACGACGCTCATAGCCCACTGATAAGGTGTTTTTGCGGTAAACGAGTATGATATTCGTGTTCAGGAGACCGAATTTTCCCTGGTTACAAGTTTCCAGCTGAATCTGAGATTTTGACCTACACTCGAGAAAGGGCAGTCAACATACAGTCAAACGAGAGAAGGTATGAATCGAAAACTAACTGGAAAAGCACCTTCCCTGCAGAGTCATGTAAATCATTTCCATTATGCGGAAATGTGAGCCGTTGAACGTTTCTCTTTTCAAAATCTTGGTTGGAAGGGCAATTTCCATGCCAAGAGTTCAACGATAGGTGATGATATGATGGTTGACTCACCTCATTTTTTAGGGTTGGGTCAAAATCTCAGATTCGGTAGGAAACTTATCTCCAAGGGTAGTTTGATCTCCTGAACACGAATATCACGCCTGTTTGCCGCGAAAAAGCCTGACACGTGCATTACGGGCACCATGTTCATACATGGACGACTACTGCCCAAACCTGCAAGGAACTGCTCGAAATTTTTTCGTACAGGGAACTAACGGCAAAGTTGATAAATTAAGAAGTTAGAAGCTTTCTGGCTACATCTTCACGGAGCATCCTTGCTTTATAACTACGTTCAAAGAATCGTTTAGCAGATAAGGAAGGCAGTTCTGAGCTCAGCGCCTCGAGGCGACTTCAACGGTATACGACTCATTGCAAATGGCCGGACCGGCCTGATGACCTTCCCTCGTGAGCAAAAAGTGATTAAATCTTTTTGAGTGGAGACAGAATGTCTTTTTATTGCCCCCCGTAGATCACCTCCACTGCTGGTTCCAAAAAAAAAGCTACACAATTTTTGAGATTAGTCGTGAGAAAGTTTTTCAAAAAAGACACAATTAAACTCATCTAACTCAAGTATTACCTGTAGAGGAATGACGCTAAAGGTTCGGACTGTGAGTTGACGTCGGCGAGCGTCCGCATTCTGCCTCATCAAGCTGTTCATCATCTGAATCGTTCATCGACAGCATCTTTTCCGAAAGAATATGTGAGAAAATGTTGGTAGAAACCGGATGAGAAGCAACGCCTAATTGTTAAAGCATTAAAAAATAGTATATGTGACCAAAATAAAACGAATATCGCAGGAATTCTCTAGAGAAAGTCAAGAAATGACAGAAATTTGACGAGCAAAGCCGAACGAATCAAAAGAAAAAACATAGAAGGAATTTGGGTCAACTTTAACTCTCACTGTGGCTAGAAAAATTCCTAGTTTTGTACATTCCATTTTCCTAATTTTCCCTCATCTCTGTTACAAGGGTCATTACGTTGGTAACATGTGGGGTTGGCATTTGGGGTGTCTCTCTCCCTCTCTCTATCCTTCCTGAAGGGTCTTCCTTCAACTTTTTACAACACGACTCCATCACTCATCCTGGTGGTAGTCTGCTTAGTCCGTCGAACTCTTCCTCACTGCCTTTGATCCTAACCCTCGTCCGTAGTCGAGCGAGATTGGGCGGGGAGGGGATAGAGGGAGGGATTGCAGAGAACTTTCATCAAATTCACCAAGCACCATCTCTCTCACCACAAATAACAAACACAACCTCTCCCTCGGTAGAAGTTGTTCAGGGAACGATTGATGTTGCTGTTCCCCTGCAGGCATTCCACAGAAGCTTCTGACGAACCAGAAGGAAAACGAATTTTTCGACAAATCGGAACTCGTTACGCAAAAATCTTCTCTGTCTAAACATTCGAGAAAATCGCTTGGTTGTTCGTCTTAATGCCGTGAATCAAAGAAATGAATGATTCGGTAGCACAGAATTTTTTCTATGTTCATCGTTGCATTATTTTTTGAATGTTAGGACAATACCTACAGGGGGGGGGGGGGGAAAAAAAAGACATTTTGCCCATGTCGCACTTCGGCCTTTTTTCTTCGCAGAGATTGCCGTCGTTGACGGGAGTTCCTCAGCAAAATATTCCCTAAATGTCCCTCTATAAGTACACGCAGGCCCTCCTTCACTGCCCTCACCGTCTTCAGAATATGACGTCATCTGTCACCGTCGTCGAGCTCAGGGAGGCCTACAGTAACTGCTTCAGCCTGAAGCTCTTACATAATCTTGGATCGATTCAACGTGAGTCAGTCGAGAACCCCATTGGGCTTGACCAGAGGCCGTCCACGTAGATGGCCACTAGGAAGATTTTCTTATGGAATGAAATGCGCTCTTCAATTCTAAGTTGGGAGCACACGCTTTGAGCTGAGCAAAGTGTGATTAAATCCATTTGAGTCTGGAGACAAAATGTTCTTTTTTATTGCCCCTCCCCTGTATACTGTCTGAAGAGATCTTCAGAGAACACTTGTGAAGGAACCTATAAATCTAACACATCTTCCTGCCCGCTATTTAACCAAATTACTGATAGATAAGCAATCAATTCTCACCCTATTCACGTCCATGAAACGAGCATCCTTGCGTAACTCATCATTTGGTTTGCACATAATTAAATATCGACGTCCATCGCCACCCCGAAGCGCTATTCGCTTAGGTCTCAGCAGTGATTTCAGTACCTGAAAGTTTCTGAATTCGAAAAAAATTCAAAAAACAAACATAATTACACTCCATACTTCGAAATCTGATTAGGCGTGTTTATGTGTTTGACGGGGTCTCATCCAGTAAGGGGGGGGGGGCATTGTGATGCAACGTCAAGTGGCTGCCCTCACCCCCACCCCCTAGACTGCCTTCACTCCCCCTGGCTCACGGGGTCCCGTACTTCGAGAAACCTGTGCGCCAGGGGGAGTGTAGGCAGTCTAGGGGGGGGGGGGTGAGGGCAGCCACTTGATGCCCCCCTTACTGGATGAGACCTGTTTGCGTGGCGGTGGCCACACTTGATAGAAGTTGCGCGGATAAAGTGCTTCCAGCATGCTTTGCTGATATTCAGCAGGTATATTGCAACCAGCTTATCCATACGACTTCTATCGGCGGCCACGTCAAATCCACCGACATGCCTAATCTGACTTCGAGATATGGACTGGATGTGATAGGCCGAAAGTGTGCTTGGTGAGAGCAGAATCATCTCGGATTGAATATAACGCACAAGGTAATCTGGATCCACACTTGCAATGAACACCTCCGGCAACTCGGTGAGTGATTCGGTCGGTGTAGATGTGTCCATCACGAACTGCGAGAATCGGCACACCTTAAAGATTCTATTTGTTGAGCCCTTCAAAATGTCAGTTCAAAGCTTTCAGAATCGTTAGAGCACAGTGGGCGAGTGCATCTGCCAAAACGGGGTGTCCTCCAAGAGGCCCAGGCCCATCGCGCGGCGAAGGAAGAGACGCAGACGCGGCAAAGGACGAGTCGCAGCGCATACTGTAGCGGTTAGGCGTCAGGTTAAAGGAATCTTGCGCGGAAAAATCATGATTCTATTTCAGCCATAAATCACTGGCTTGAGACTCATTATCCACGATAATAGTGAAAAGAACTGAAGTATTGCTTTCGTTTTGATTAGAAATTCGAAAACTCGAAAAGGCTGCTACGCGTTCGAATTGCCCACGGACGTCTTTCACGAATGCTGGCGACGGGGATGCTCAAACTTGGTTCTTGGAGTGCATTCACTAGAAGCTCTTTCTGGCCTTCTGCTTCGTTGCATTCACATCTTACACTTCTACTCCATCCTATTCCATCGATCGATTTGTCTCCACTCTCCGAAATCGCGCGCTTTAACCCGATTCTCTCATTGCGTCGCCTGGTACGTAGCCGGCCAAACGCCGTCTTCTTTCCATGCCTCGCCTGGCTCTGCCTCCTGGTCCTTCGATGGTCCATAACGTGTAGTTTTTGTACGTTTGTTTCTCTTCAGAAACCGAATCTTCATGCGTGAAACTTTGTGTGCTATTTCCAGTGATCACAACTGACATATTCATGTTAGGAAAGAGTGCAAGAATTTTCCGCGCAAGATTCCTTTAAATAGAGTGTACCATACTACGTCTCATATCGCACAGCACGCGCTGCGACTCGTCCTTTGCCGCGTCTGCGTCTCTTCCTTCGCCGCGCGATGGGCCTCTTGGGGGACACCCCCGAAAACGTAGAAATTAAAACGATCAGATTTTTATTCAGATTTTTTTCGATCCGTATCCTAAACAGGGTATCTCCAACTCAGAGCAAACCTCAATAAAAACACTAGTCTTCAAAAGAATGCTGGGTTGTGAACAAAACTGTTATACAGCAGTTAACAAACAAAAACTAGTCTCCAAGTTGTTGCAACCAAGAAGAAATCGAATTATTACAAAAATCCATGGTTCACTAAGTAATACAAATAATGCAATAAATCTACGAAAAAATGTCACGAGTTGGATACCTGGTCGTTGTGCTCTTTTGGCAGGGCATGTTCCATCATCTCCGTCAACGGAATCATAATCGACGGCGATACAGTACGGACACCTGATAGTCCACGATCTCTTGCTCCCACTGAAAGTAACACCAGAGGCATATGCAGTCTTACCCAACGGTACCACTTTGTATGTTATTGAAAAGCTATACAACAATTTGTTACCAGCAAGTGATATAAAGCGGAGGAAACGTTATGAGAAATGGTGTTTCGGCCGTACTCATGATTCAGGGATCGAACTCCAGATTAACCCTTGCAAGGTAACCACGTCCCGAATTTTCCCTGGGCCAATAAAACTGGCGTCAGACAAGTTTTGGGGAAGAAATACGAACTGCTAACTCTCTCATTGTAAGAGCGCACATTCAAATGTGGCGGAAATTTTGAGACTTTATTGAGAGCTGACATCCGACTTAAAGGCACGCTCCGGGATTAGGCGCGCTCGCCTGTTCCATCCCGGGGGTAGTAGCAGGCGGACAAGCGTTGATGTCGCGCCCCTTTTGCCGCTTGAAAGTGCGCGACAAAGGCGCAAGGAGCTCGTCCGACCCGCAACTCACACCTTCGTCCGCAAGCCCCACCCTCCGCTGTCGGTTGCCACGTGGCGCTGCTTGAAAAGCGCGGGCGCATTTGAGGCAGCGGTCCCATTGCGACCCAATGTCATTGGCACTGGAGCAACTAGAGTTAGGTTCGTGAAACTCGTCCAACGCGCCCCTTCTCTATCCCAAGGTGGAATGTGGCTGAATAGGGGAGGTCTCTGTGCGGGGCGTAATCGGTGGTTTCGTTTGCTTTCCTTCTCTTTTCCAGACCACCTCCCACCTCTAGCTTCATAACTGAACGCTTTTCTGTTTTATGCCAAATCTTGGTTTTAATCGGTGTCCTCCCGGAACATTTCATAAAGATTTTTCCTTGTGTTCATTGAAGTTACATTGCCAATGGCTTGAGTGGGACAATCTGTTTCGTTGATTGTGTGGGTGGGATCACAAGATCACTGAACCGTAACTGATGCCACTGCCACGGCCCAAAGATACGTGGTAAGGGCACTAGGAACTAATTATTTTGGGTCCTACCGTTCACCCTTGCGAATGACTGCTTCTCTCGGGCTCGTTGTTATGCCCTATAACCACTGACAGTCCTTTTCGCAATTCTACCTTCATTTCCGAGAAAAGAAACCACATACTCTGATAAAAGGATAAAAAGGATAGAGCATTTGATGTAGATCAATCCCTTTTTGGAAAGCAGCAAGCATTCTACTTCAATTTGTAC